ACCCCAAACGGCCAACGGCTCCCCTAACTAACGCTTGACAGGGGGGGGGGCTCGCGTGGTTGGAATTGGCTGGCGGGATGATCGACACTGCTCCCCCCGTCATCTTGAATTGTCCGTAGTCTTTTTATATAGAATTGTTACTAGTAAATTTTAATATGGATCGTTGTATTTTGATTGCTTTCCCTGTTTTGGATTTTAATCGTGAGCCCTCTGGGGGAGATGGGTGGCACACAAATTGAATCAATGAATAAACGGAAACGTAGAAGCGGCATTTTTGGGGCTTCTGGCTCTGCTATGGCTTTTCGTACCTCTTTTTTATTTAATGTATGATTTGTATTGAAACGTTTAAAAAGGAGATAAAAGCGAATACACACTAATATAAAGGAAAGGAAAGAGAAAAAGAAAGAAAGCAGAGAGAAAGCCAAAAGGGCAAGGAAAGAAGTTCAAGAAAAACAGAAAAGAAAGAAAAACGATACAAAGCGGTGCTTCCAATATTCTGCACTGCAGCTACAAATACAATTATATTTTCACCTCTCCCTCTAAAGTTACATCCTGACTCCCTTCTTTCGATAATCTATCCTGTCTAATCATCAAAGCCATAAATCACGTTCCTTTTTTTTCCATTTTGACACAAAAAGTCCATCAAGAGGTCCCCAGTTGCCAACGAATGTAGATAATGTCTGGCTTCTCTTACCTCTTCAAACTCTTCCTCATCATACTCTTCCTCCTCCTCCTCCTTGCCTTCTTCACCCTCTTCTTTCTCCTCTTCCTCTTCAGATGTCACCTCTTCCTCCTTCTTTTCCAGAGTCTAGGAAACAATTAAACAATGATTAAGACTAAGCCTCTTCCTCATTATCATCATTGCCACCGTATGCCTCCCAAAATGGATCCTGAAGGGCCAGAGGAGCGTTGCCCGAGGGCTGATCCGGACCTACAATCCTCCCTACTCTATCCCGGGGCAGGATTTTGGAACAGCCCCGGCAAGCCACAAAATTCAGCCAGCCAGAAAAATCCGGCAGCTCCTACTTTTCTTGCTGAGCTCTTGACCAAGTTAGGGTGGAGGAGAGGTTCACGTTGCCAACTGCTATTACCAGCTTTGCCCTTCTACCTTTCGCAGCCTCCGGACGCACAGGAAGTTAGCACTGAAGGAATCCCCCCGTCATCTTGAACACTATTTTTAGTATTTATGTATAGGGCTGTTTTTATAGCCTGATTTTAACTGATTAATTAATTTCAGCTATTTATATGGTATCACTTTTTAATGGTTCTTGGGACTTTGGTTTTAACTGTGAGCCGCCCAGAGTCACCTGTTGGGGGAGATGGGTGGCATACAAATTTGATGGATGGGATGGGATGGGATGGGATGGGATGGGATGGGATGGGAT